TGTGATATTTATAATACTACCGCTGCACCAGTGTCTCCTTCAAAGTGTGGCCCCAGCGAGACAAACACTAGGGTGCTTGATTGTGGTAAAAATAAAATAGAAAAACATGTTTCTTTTGATACTTCCTCTTTTTTGGAGCCACCCTTTCCCGGAATCCCAAGGCATGTGTTGATGCGCACATATTTATTCCAAAAAGAGATCCGCTTAGATGTTGGTGTGGAGGGACGCAGAGAACGAGTCACCGCCGAAGCTACCCAACTAGGGAAGATTAATTTAATATTGGGCTGGACCTGGCTATTTAAACACAATCCTGAGATCGACTGGCAGACAGGGGTTGTCACATTGTCACGTTGCCCTCAGGAGTGTGTGAATTTGGGTAAACTGAATCACATCCGTCACAATGAGCATCTTGAAGAAATAAATGCTAGTCACATCTATGAGCTCAAATCTCTAGAAAAGATTGATGATGACGATGACGAGGTAAAACCTGAGGAAGAGGTTAAGAGGCTGGTACCTCCCGAGTACCATGACTTCTGGAAAGTCTTTTCAAAACATAAATCAGAGCGCTTCCCAGAGGCTAAGCCTTGGGACCATGCTATAGACTTGAAGGACACTTTCAAACCGAGGGACATATGATACCACTCTCTGCTCCAGAAAGAGATGAGGTTTCTAGCTTCATAGATGAGCAGCTTAGGAAGGGTTACATCAGACCTTCCAAAAGCCCTATGACGTCCCCAGTGTTCTTCATTCCCAAAAAGGATGGAAAGAAGCGTATGATTATGGACTATTGTTACATGAATGAGCACACGGTTAAAAATGTTTATCCGCTGCCTTTGATCAGTCAGCTAGTAGACAAATTGGCTGGTGCCAAGATCTTGACAAAGATGGATCTCAGATGGGGGTACAATAATGTACAAATCAAAGAAGCAGATGCTTGGAAGGCCGTGTTCACGTGCCACCGAGGATCCTTTGAACCCCTTGTTATGTTCTTTGGGTTGACCAACTCACCGGCAACCTTCCAGAGCATGATGAACGAGATTTTTGCGGATATGGAAAACTGTGTCGTCATTTACATTGACAATTTGTTGATATTTACGAAGTCGGATGATGAGGCTGAGCATGACAGGATTGTGCAAGAAGTCCTTCGACTCTTACAGGAACGGGACTTATTCGTCAAACCCAAAAAATGTAATTTTAAGGTGAAGGAAGTAGACTTCCTTGGTATGATCATAGGCCAGAATGGAATCAGGATGGATCCTGAGAAAGTTCAAGCTATATTGGACTGGCCAGAACCTACTCACGTCAAAGGAGTTAGGGCCTTCCTTGGCTTAGGAAATTTCTACCGAAGGTTTATTGAAAACTTCGCAAAAATCACGAGACCGTTGAACAATCTCACTAAAAAAGACATTGTTTGGCACTGGGGCGCCAAAGAACAAGAAGCTTTTGATAAGCTTAAGCAGGTGTTTAGGACAGCGCCCATATTAGCATTTCCAGAATTAGACAAAGAGTTCCAGTTGGAAACCGACTCTTCTGATTTTGCTACTGGGGCTGTTCTATCCATTAAATGCCCTGATGATCTTTGGAGGCCTTGTGCCTATTTATCACATAGTTTGTTGCCTACGGAGCGCAACTATCAAATTTACGACAAAGAGATGCTGGCCATCATTAGAGCCTTAGAGCACTGGCGACACTACTTAGAAGGTGCTAGACACCAATTTGAAATTTGGACCGATCATAAGAATCTGGAATATTTTATGACGGCCCAAGACTTGAACCAAAGACAGGCTCGCTACACAGTGTACTTGTCAAGGTTTGATTATAAATTAATTCATAAGCCTAGAAGCTCTATAGGGAAAGCGGACACTTTGTCCAGAAGAGAGGATCATGCCAACGGTATCGAAGATGACAACAAAGGTGTTACCCTGATAGACCAATCAAGGGTTGCCAATGTTGGAATCGGGCAGGATTCCGATCTTCTGGAAGTTTTCAAGAAAGACATCTCCTCAGAAAAGAAGGCGCGCCTTGACAGCAATGAAAACTATTTATGGGAAGACGGGCTCTTTCATTTTAAAAACAAATCTATGTGCCTGAGTCCGCAAGGATCAAGGCAATAGATAGACATCACAACACTCCAGTGGCTGGGCACCCTGGGTGGCAACAAACAATGGAGTTGATCTCCAGAAACTATATGTGGCCTGGCATGGTCAAAGACATACAGGAATACGTAAAATCCTGTCTGAGATGCGCCATGGCTAAAAATTCTCATCAACCGCCGGCCGGTAAACTTATGCCAAATCCAATACCAGCTGGTCCCTGGCAGGATATATCGGTTGATTTCACAACGGATCTGCCCGAGTCAAATGGGTATGATTCAGTAATGGTGGTAGTAGATCACTTCTCCAAAGAAGTGGTATTTATACCCACCAACAAAACCATTACTGCTGCTGGTACGGCAGATTTATTTAAAGGTTTCATATGGTCCATCCATGGATTACCAAAGACGGTTATTTCCGATAGAGGGCCACAATTCGCTAGCGAATTTACAAAAGAATTATGCCGGATGCTGGGCATCAAACCTAAATTATCAACGGTGTTCCATTCGCAGACTGATGGACAAACGGAGAGACTCAACCAGGAGTTGAAACAATACCTCCGTATATTTATTAATGACAGGCAGACAGATTGGGCCAAGTGGCTAAAGATAGCCCAGTTCTCATACAATATCAAACAGTCGTCGGCTACAGGAAAGGCACCATTTGAGGTTACTAGATTGTACCTCCCCAGAATGGGTGTAGAACCTAGCAAAAGCAAGAACGAGGCTGCTGGGAACATGGCCAAAGACATGAAGTTTGTCTTAGACAAAACACGCAAGGCGCTATTCAAAACTGCAGAGCAGATGAAAGACAGGGCAGAGCATAGACGCTCTAAGGCCCCTGACTACAAGGTCGGCGACCTGGTTTGGTTAGATACCGACCACTTAAAGTTAAAAGATCGGCAGTCTAGAAAACTGACCAAAAAATGGATTGGCCCTTACCGGATTAAGGAAGTCAAACCCAACGCAGTGGAGCTGGAACTCCCAAAACAAATGAGGGTAGTACCCACGGTCAATATTAGCCGTGTGAAACCCTACAAAGGACCGCTGCCGGGACAGCGCGTAGACCGGCCCGGTCCGGTGGTAGTCACCCAGGAAGGTGAAGAAGAGTTCGTAGTTGAACGGGTGGTGGATGCACGCTTGAAGCATGGCAAATTAGAGTTCCTAGTCCTATGGAAAGGCTATGGAGACGAGGACAGAACGTGGGAACCAGAAGCCCACCTGGATAACTCCCGTGACGCTGTTCACAAATTTTATTCTAAGAATCCCTCAGCTCCTAGGAAGCTTAGAGGCATGGATTCAAAACTTTTGTAATTCTCTTTTTCAAACTATGCCCGAAAATTTAACTACCACCGCCGGTATTTGGTCTCGCCTCGAAGTCGAGCCTTAGAAGGGGGGTAGTGTTACGATAACACAATTTTCGGACCTTTCCTCCATTTTCATTCTCCGTTTTAACCTTGTATACTTTAGCTTTCACACATGGTGCCACGCGGCACTTCCCCTTTTGTTCAAACTCCTCTTTCTTGTGCCGCATTGCTTTCTTCTTATTTTTAGATACAACTCTCTCACACAGTGGAGCTGGTCATGCGGGCTAGGCCCCATGACATCATCAGCCACTGACTTTATCAACTGTACAGTACATAAGTACAAACATTCTGTATTAGTATATATACCCCAATATGTGAGGCAACGATAAACTATAACAAAAACAAAACCTGTCTCCTTCTGCACTTGCAGGGAGTAAAGGGTTCGATGAGCTTGAGGTTGACAGATGCTAGTATGTATAGCAAGTAGAGGACTTTGAGAGGTAAGCTTCAAAGGTTTTCGTTGAGGAGTAAAGCGGGTAAATTCAGTAATAGAAAACTAAGGAGCCATACATGAATAGGTAAGGCTTTATATAGTGAACTGTTTGTTCCTCAGACCGAAAGGAGAATATATGAAAAGTGGTCTGAGGAATCAATCGACCAATAAGAAAAAGGGAGAGTAACTATTGTACGACTTTTAACTTGATTAATCAGCAGGTGAGAGACTTGTACTAATAATAGAGGATTGTCACGTGTGTTCAGGAACCGTATCCTCATAATGAGGTACGATCCTGAATAAGGCGTTATTAGTATAACCAGGCTTTACTGAGGCTTGGAGCTGGTTGGCGAGATGCCTACTACCAGTCCTTACTCCGTGTGCTGGCTGGCTGGGAGCAATACCCAGTCTCTGATCTGTGATATAAAATGGTAGCAATGGTTAAGAAAGCCTGTGAGGGCTATGAGAAGTAAAACGGCAAAGGATACCTCTAGCCCTAGAGCCAGAGGTGTAACGGGAAAAGCGTTCGAGAACCAAGACATAGCGAAGATAAGAAAATAATGAAATGGTCCTTACACAATAGATCAAGGAGACTCCTCAGCGAGTCCTCCTGTTGTATACCAACAAACTCTCTGCAGCTTAAGGGGTAACCACTCCCTCATCATCACTACCTTTATAGTGTGTTCTTGTGTGCGCCAGAGTAACTAACTCTTGGTTGTAACAGCTATAGAAACAACTGAGGTATTTCTATACTAAGCCCCCTACTACTTATAGTCGGAGGTGCTACTCGCTATAGTATAATGACTCCTAGGAGTACAATGGTGACTCCATGGAGTGGTGGCTGTGCTCCATGGAGAACAATGGCTGCTTCGGCAGAGACCGGGTTTATCCGGTTTTGTCATGTACTACCTCAGACTCTTCTATGAGATCTGAGGTGAGACTCACTTATTTCCCCCCTTTTGAATACCTATCTGATCCCTAGTATAGACATCTTATCTTATTAGGTACTTACTTTGAATATAGCTCAGACTCTTCTACAAGACCTAAGACACCTTATTGTATTAAATCAAACCCAAACAACTTGGTATACTATGGTGTGGTGTTTTATTTTCTTATATGGTTTGTAGGGATAGCATGCTCAGAATGTCAGTACTGTTGCCACTTTTGCATGCATTTTATTATCTAAGACTTTGCAGCGGGCCGTACCACCCTTTTGGTGGTAGGCTGTACACGTCTATTCCGCTGGAAATTTGTCTGGTATCTGATAAATAATAAGAGGGCATGGCTTGGTACGTGTCGGGTTGGATCTAGGAGAGCATGTAACGAGAGGGGAGGTTGTTAGCCCCCATCACAATCACAATGCGAAGAGAGGAAAGTGTTGGGGGAGGACTTACCGTGGATGTGCATCCAGCCGATTTGGAGCTGCAAGGCTTCGTTGATCTGGATGTCGTCTGCTCCCTCCCGCAAGCCGGTCTGGATAGCCCGATGGAGCACCGCGCGGAATTTTGCTGTGATATTTGTGGGGCATGAAAAAAAGTGCATGGAAGTCGAGCAGAGATTAGAATGCAAGTCGAAGTCAGCCATATACAAAGCATGACAATATCCATTTTCCAGGGAGAAGTATTCCATTAGTCGGTAAATATTCACAGAACTACGCCATCATGAGATAGCACACTAACTTATGGTGAATGGGTGATAACTTAGCTTGACAGCACTGTTTCAGGGAGATACATTAGCCCCCGATAAATCACGCTGTCCACCCCTGCCATGATAAAGTGCTAAACAGTAAAGCGTCAGTAGAGAGCTTCTCAATTCCACGATGTGCTGGTTAAGGCTAAAACCTAGTACGTGCATCAAAGTTTTAGGGTGTGTGGAATTGATAGGTTGAACAAATCTTACCCTGTTCAAACTTGACTTCAAATCTGGAATGCTGTTGATACAGGCTATACGTTTATGCGAGGCTACGCTGATGAATCAAAACGCGTCATGATCCCAGCTAGCGGCACAAGCACAGGTACACCAAGCTGACGTCTCGGCGTATTGCGACAATTGCTTTCGTCCATTGACAGCTGACATTGCTGACACTGGAGTAGGATATTTCCATGCGCAATGAACGGTAGGGGAGTAACCGAAGTGAAATACACGTTGCTTGGGCCCTAAGGAGATGACCACGAACCGTCATCAGTGATAGTGTCCATCATGATAATGAGAATCTTCCCCTGATTTGGAAGGAGAGATACTTACGATTGTGACTCATGCGATGTGAGGGTGAAGGGCAAAATATTCCCTACATTAACCGTGATTTGACACGTCCGAGTCATACCTTCCCGCAGACCCCTGACTGGCTACGATGCTATTTGTTCACTGAGGGCCTCTGTAAACGAATCAGTGTTCTATGACTATAAGTTGATGTAATGAATGCTCGACTATTTCAGTCCATCGAGTTGATTGAGATGTCTGATGATGGTGACGTTATACGAGGGATTTGCTCTGATATGTATACCAGGCCACTTGTTCAAAAGCTGTGTGCCGCTCCATTGATTTACAGGTGACCGGTGAAAAGTTCAAGGTTATTTTTTTGGTAGCACGACCCAAGCACTACTCGGTTGATAATTTATCTTCTGGGTTTGAAGTGCACTGGCCATTGAAAGCGAGTATTCAGACTGTCATTCAAGCATGGACCCCAGGAGAATGATTGGTGTAGGGTGTACTGGATTACTTGCACCGAGTCCGAACAGGATGTTCAAGTTGCCCATATGTAGACATCGTGAACATTCTCACGGCAATTTACTGGACGTTTATGGGTGCTTATGGGCGCTTATGTACGAGACATGTGTAGTACACGAGCTTGTTAGAAGTTTGATTTGATAGACTGTCATATCATAGCATTGCCAGCGCCATTGAAGACGGTCAGACCCTCTGGAACTTGAAACACCCTCAGCCCTTACAGCCCTCACCAGCTACAGATTAAAGATGGGTTCAGGTCGTTTTTCTCTTATTCTCCATAACATCTACTCGACTCTTTTTCGACCACACATGCCTTATCCAAACGACATTTTTGGCATATTCCAGGAGGGCGTCATCGGGCCTATGGGACCTGAGTCATGGGAGCGGCAGCTTTGCGTAGACGATAGGTCCACAAATTGTTATATCGACCACATCGTGTTTTGTAAATGCAAAGACGACAAGAAACACGAATTCTTGTTGATTTCCGTTTGCTACCCGGACCCAAACATCACGGCCAAGGCACTTGTGGTCGTCGACCGTTCACCCTCCGCTCCGTCACCCAACTCGTCTGTTCATACCCCTCTAGGCTCTGCCATTGTGTCACCGTCAGTCTCCGATACTCCTGCCCATGATCGTATTGTCATCACCAAAGAAGACGATAAAACGGAGTTGACTAAACCGTATAAACCATACAGGGAGCTCTGTACCCTTACATTCTCCGAGTCTTGTCCCTCCAATATCACCGGAAATTATTTATCGCCTTCTGTTCGGCAGCTATGCATCCTGTTGAAAGTCATCAACAAACACGCCCCGCTCTACAATCTTTATGAGCACCAGTGCTACTGGTTTGCCAATACTGTGTTCGACATGTTGAAGAAACTATTTCCAAATGCAGAGGAGAAGTGTACTTCACACGACATACGCGGCAACTATCACGGGTTGAAATTCGACCATCGTAACAGTATAGAGACGATAACTGAAGAATATGACAGGTCATGGATCGAGGCATGTAACAGGGTGAGGGAGGAACGGATAAAACAAGAAGAAACTCGACGTAAAGTAAGTAAAATCTCGCTGCTGTTTTTTGCTGTCTATTAATCATTTTTTTAACTTGTCAAAAGCATGTTGAAGATGGGATGAAGATAGGTGAAGAAAACGGGATAAAGATAGGTGAAGAACGCGGGATAAAGATAGGTGAAGAACACGGTCGTGCGGAACGAGAGCAACTCAAGGCTGAAATGGAACAACTCAAGGCTGAAATGGAACAACAGAAGGCTGACAGTGCCCGACGCGAGGCTGAAAAACAGGCTGAATTGGACCAACTCAAAGCGAGAATGCATGAAGACGAAAACCGTCAGTCTGACAACGCGGCAGTCGCAGCCTGAAGAAGAGATGGAAAGTTTGTTCGTGAGTCCATTTGAGCATTACTACTTTCAAAACTAACAAGGATCTGTATGACAGTCCTAGCCAGGACGACAGCAAAGCTGTCAAACATGCAATATCTTTCCTATTATCTATTTTCACGGAGCAGAGCGTCTATTACTCGTCATCCATGTCTATGTATATTCTAGTACACTGTTTCAGGGGTAAGTACCATGCCGGGCGTCTACTGTAGTTATTTCATCGTGACGGTTCGGCGGTTCCAAAGCGGATAGTTTGGTGCGATAGTGCCACTGTACTCAGACTCTCATGCTGCTATGTTGTAATGATCCCCAGATAGTTGCCAAATGATTATGGAGAATGTCGCTGCGAATGATGATGAAGAAGTCTATAAGCATGATTCCGACAGCCTCACCGTGGTCCGCAATAACCGTTTCCCGAGTCCTGTGGAAGATCTTGCGACTCTTTTCTTCCATCCTCGTGAGCATCGTAGGCTTCGCTGCCAAAAATTCCATGGAATATATCGTAAATGCATTCTATGACAAGGCCCATATGATGCCTCGTGATCTCCATCCGAACATACACCGTGATCATCCAGTACTTGTGATCTCTTTTTACCTGCCAGCTATATAAATGGAGGTGGAAGGAGCGGCAGCGTTCTCGAGGGTCTCTCATCTGCTCTCTTCTGAAATGCTCAACGTCGCCCTTTTTCTTCTGGGCTTGGTGTTCAGCAGCGACGTGCTCGCGTCCTCTTCTTCGTCCGGATCAGCGCCCAACATTGTCGATGTCGGCTATGCGAGCTATCTGGGAAACCAGTCGTATCCCAACACGGTAGCCTACCTGGGCATTCCCTATGCCGAGCCTCCCCTGGCCGAATTACGATGGCGCGCACCGCTGCCTCTGAACACGACTCGCATCTCCCAAGAATCAAACAGACAGGTCATCAATGCCACCACGTACCCCATGTTCTGTGTCCAAGGTTCCATCGGAGGTATGTCCTGACGCGCCGCGTTCCCGTGTGTGTGGTTCTTGACCGGTGGCAGGTGGGGATCACGGAGGAGCTGGCTCGGAAGATTGTCTCAAAGTGAATATCTACGCACCTGCTGGAGCAAAGGAAGGAGATAACCGTGCGTGCGTCCTTGCCGTTCGCTTCGTCTCCGATGCTTAATCCAGAGGGCATACCGTAGTGCCTGTCCTGTTTTATATACATGGTGGAGGTACGTTGTATTGCTCGCATCGATGAGGCAGGTTTAATGATGTATACATTGAACTAAGGCTATGTCTACGGAAACCCACGCAATTGGCCATTTGACCCCTGGATCAACCAGAGTCCAAACATTGTCATCGTGTCCGTCTACTACCGCCTCGACTCCTTCGGCTTCCTGTCCCACCCCGACTTCGTGGACGCCTCCATAGGCGACTTCAACGGCCAGAGTGCTGGAGGGAGTTCTGTGGAACTGCACATGGTGGCTCATGAAGACGAAGGATTGTTCTCTGGTGCCATCGCACAGAGCGTGTTTAGGGGACCCGTGTCCACCCCCAAAGAACAACTGGTAAGCTGACAGCGCTCTTCCAAAAACAGTACACAGGAATCCTCATTGAGCATGCGAATATTAGCCCCTTTTTGATTTCTATTCCTCCTATGCAGGCTGTGGGGACGGGACAACCGCAGCGCAGATGACCTGTTTGAGGAATGTGAGCCAAGAGAGTCATAGATACTCTTGCACATATGGGCATATCAACATCTATGAATGCAATTCACACCACTATTTGATTGCTATCAATGGAGTCTCATCAAGCCCTTCAAGATCTTGGCCAAACCCTTTTTGCATCGTACACATATGACAATTTTGACGTCGATCTCAAAACCAGAGCTTCCACTATTGAACTTTCTACAGACAGTCTGAAGCACCTCACGTCTGGCCTGTTATTTCCGCTGCAACATGGGGTTTCTCAGGTCGACCTCAAGTGCTCACATGCCCTTTGGAAATAGTGGCACCTTAACCCACAGCTTCGTACCAAAGACCTTCCACCCAAGAAAACATTCAAAGATTTACTAACCCTCCATTCACAACCAACAGACATAGCTGGACTTAGCCCACGACAACAGTTCATCGCATGGAAGTTCCTGAGCGACCTCTTGTACTTCGGAGCATTGTATTTTTCAGGTTTCAAATCTCAGCTTGAAAAACCTTCTGTTATAGAACAAATTCCTCTCATCAAAACACCTGTCATTGCTGCCCGAGTAATGGATGTGAATAACTCAACCATTTCAGGTAACGTCCATGCTGTATCCGAGCATGTAGTCCTATTCCATGGGGATTTGGGCATAGGAGAGCGGCTGCAGGCCATTTAGGAGCAAAGGGCAATTGAGGAGACACCCTAGAACTGTTTTCAACACCTCATTTTTGTACCAGGTCTCTTCCATCTTCAAATGACTTGTGCTGATGCATTATGGCGCACATTCCTGCAATCGGCAACAGCAAGACAAGATGAAATGAGCTTGATGCACAATGTGTCCAAGTTGCGACCTAGAGAGACAGGTATATATGGCAGTAAGCCAGGGTTTAGGCGTATACATCAGCTGGTCAATCACGCTGGAATATGCCACCATCTTGATTGCTGGAGAGTTGAGGTGAAGACTCATAATTCAGCTCATTCTACTCTTGCCCTATTTGCGGCTTCAGCACCATTGTTTGATGAACTCAAGGCTATAGCTGCCTATCTAGCCAAGGCTTGTATTGCCAATCACAAGCTCACCTGACTATGCCAGCATCCTCCAGCATTTTGAGACCAATAATATGAAAATGGGCTACTACTCAATAAATACTTGCTACTCTATGATGAACTGTTGTATGCAATGAACAAGGGGGACATTGCACGCGTTGAAACATGCATTGTGTATTGGATACCCATTTTTAGGGCGACGGGAAAGCACAAGTACACTATGCATATGACCAATTTTTTGGTGGCTGTTCATTTTTCATACCTGATGGTTTAAAGTAAGTGCAGCGGTTTTCTTTGATTGATGCAAGCTAAAGCTATCCCTGTCATGTCCATACTAGAAGACAGAACTCCAGCAGTTCTGAAGGAGTTATGCTCCGGACCCAGAACCCCAGAACTGTCGGTATACTCAGGATTACGTTCCCCGGACCCAAAACCCTCAAACCATTGGTATGCTCGGGATTACTTTCCTCGTGGTCTGCCAATAGGCATAACTCTACGCTCCATTCCCACATGGTACTCCGGTTGACCGCTCCAATACTCCTGCACCAGACTTCTAGTCTGCCACACATTTCTCCTCGCACGTTCTAGTATTCCTCATGGACTCTGTAGTTAGATCTTATGATACACTCCTTGCGCATACATTCTTGCTAAATAATTGTCTGCATGGAACTCTGTACCTACATTATGAGTTACTCCTTACAAGCTCCTGCTCCCCCAACAGTATATAAGCTGTAACTCCTGTACTCCATTGCTTTCTTACCAGTCCTTTTTTAAGTCCTTTCCAATCCTTCTCTGAAGTATCTTTACTCTGCTCCCTTTCTTCCTCTACTTTTCCTCCGTCCACTTCCAACTTCCAACAAGTTAGGGACCAAGGTCTGTGGAAGGGTCTAGCACACAAGCTAAGCCAATTCCCCATCTTGTCCTCTGTACTCTGTTACTCCGTCCTTATACTTTGCAGCTCTGTTACTCCAAAGAGGCCATGGTTCTGACAATCCCAGACAAGCAGTTTGGTACCATACACTTGTTAACCCTACAGGAAAGCCAGGTAAATTCCGTGGTGTTGACTGGTGTATAGAATTATTCAACTTGTTCATCAAGGCTCAGATTTTACAATTTATCTTGTCTCACTTGATGAGCTCTCACCCATAGGTCATTAATGGAGGTGATGATCCCAATAGAACAGTGTCGAAGATGAGAACTGTTGTTAGAAAAAAACACACACAAAAACAAACTAACACACAATCCTCCCAGATTCCACGGAACTTGTGTATGGGCTTTGCATCCTAGAACAGTGGAGTGGTCTGGTTGTTCGTTGGGTGGTATGTATGACGATCTTTCAAAGTAAAACCCAGAGATGTATGGGTGTGGGTTTTGAGGAGGAGGGATAGTTGGATGATAAAAGATAGGGGCTTTGTGATGAGTATGAACAAGCACTACCTTGCTGATTGTAGCACAAGGTAGGTTTGAAAACAACAAGATGACAAGGTGACGAGGTTCCCAGTGATAGCAGGTTCCTGACGCACAAACTGTAGTGCTCAGAAAAACTCTAATCAAAAGGGATGGCAGTGACTTTCAAAAATAACAAGTGATGATGACAGCAGATAGCAGTGGTAGCAGTGAGAAGTATTGTGACCACACTGGATCACAAGTAGTAGTGAGTAGTGAACTTGAGATTAGAGAAGAAGTCTGGATTCGAGTTCTTGTTGTTTTTACAAGGTAAAATACAGGGGTTTATATAGTAAAAGAAAAGTAGGCTATGCACAGTATAGCTGTGCAAAAAGAATGAGAAAGAACATGAAGGAAGGAATGTACACTGACAAATCCTGCGTAGGTAGCACAGGATAAGATTGTCAAAAAAAGGAAAAGAAAGGGATAGAACAATGAATGCTGTGAGTAATGTCACAGGTTTGTACAGCCATAAAGTAAAGTCCAATAGCAAAAAGAGAGCAGGAAAATCATGATGTCATAGGAAGATGCAGTAAAAAAAGGGCAAGGCAAAACACTATCAGTATCAACACAGTTCCTTTATTGTCAGTCAGGCATTCTAAAAAAATATGTGTCCATAAAAATGATTCAAAAATCAAAAATAATTGCACTGCAAATGAATGTTCTGCTGAAAAAAAAGAAACTGGAGCCACCAGTCCACCACCTAGTCCAAATCCAACAGTTCCATGGCCTTACCAATGGACTGGTTGTGTTGGACCACCTGGTCAAACAAGGGAGGGAGAGGAGTAGTCCCAATTTGGAACAAGTGAGTCCCAGGCAGTGTGTGGTAGGTGTAGCTGTAGTGAAGACGATGGACAAAAGATAAGTGTACCCAAGTGAATGGAACAGCGATGAACATGGGCGACACAAGGGGATGAACCTTCTCCAGCTC